CTGTTCGTACGCCGAGAGCAACGACGGTGTGAACCTCGTTGAGAAGCAGGACGCCGATGGGCAAACTTGTTTGCATGCTGTAGGCGCTATCAAACGATCTTTTGTAATATCTATTTAGGCGGCACGAGGGAAGGCCCTCTCCGTATTCCATTGGCTCCAGAAGCAGTACCCACGGCTCGTTCTGATTCGTGACAATATGGGCAGAACTGCCACTGATCTTTCGTCACAGTAATGAGTTTTACTTTCGCGAGATTAAGTTGAGAATCCTATCACCCGTTCAACTTCCCCATGCTAACATTTTCGGAAATCTCAGGCTATCGCCATTTGCTGTGATAAGCTAGTTTTGCATTGGTTGCTTGGATGCTTTTTTGGACCATATTAATATCGCAACTTTTCTGACTGACCTACTTGGTTTTTGGACTTATGTTGTATTACTTCTGCCGTAATTAATTCGTAGACGCACTGTCTTCTCCTCTGCCCTTAAGTTGCCTCTAGTTGGTCGATACGCTGCTATGATACGTATCAACCCATACTCCAACGATCTCCAGAGTCTTCTAGCCGCTTAGAGGTGTGGCGCTGAAACATATGCACTATCGATTGGTTTAGATCATGCACATGTATGCAATAAGCACTTGAATTCCAAAGTGAATTAGCTATCACATTAACAAAATGCTAAAAATATAACATCACTCGCGCATCGCTTGCCTATCTGTACGCGCATACCTCACCTCGCTACTTATGTGCGTCACCAGCAGACGTCTGTTCCGAAGTCGTCAAACCTTAATCACCTGAGCGGGGTGTCAGCAGCATCTGGGATCACAGATTCTGATAGCACGTTATTGAAGTCATCACTGGTATTACTGTGAAAAGCTTGATTACTTTAAATGTGATGTGACTAGCACGTTTTCTACCACAATACGAATATGGGTAGTTAGTTATGGACTGGATCAATAACTCTGCATCCTTTATGAAGTTCGGAAATGGCCTCCGCAACTGCTGCAAGCTGCCACCATCGTGGTAGTCTGCATCGACTGCAAAACAGCGCATTTTACTCAAACCTGTTCACAGTCGACACTCTCCTCAACCTGGAGGACACGATGCACCTTTTATGTTCACCTCTCCACGTCTAAATACGCATACTCATGCGTGGTAAACTCAAAGCGAAACCGTCCTGAAACCGGAAACAGAGGCTTCTTGGACAGAGTGACCAAGAGGTAAAGACTAGAAAGGGAAACTATTACTTGGGTCACTTCATCGCTTAAGGGCACAGATTAGAAATCAGTAAAAGTGAGTATACCAAGAGCTAAACGCTAACCACGGTAATTGGAAGTGAACTACTGTAATTAGCAGCTTCGTAACGTTTTCATCGAATACGAGTGAATTCATTGT